ATAGCATTTACCTTAAGAATGGCTACTGGTACATCTGACGTATGAGGTATATTAGCTGTCAATATTCGTGGAGTAAATCCTAATAATTTACCAATTTAATCGTTTTGTTCAAAACTCACTTCAAGGCTGCTTGTTATTTCACTACGTAAAGTATTATTGTTAGGTTTGATTCTTACAATTTCAGATCCATTTTCAATAGAGTTTTGAATATATTTTTCAATATCTTCAATTTCATAGCTTCCAGGGGGTATAGTAATCACTTTATCACCAATATAAAATTTATTTTTACCTTGATCAATATTAGGAATTGAATTGAAAGTTAGTAATTCAACTAAGCCAAGTACATAATTTTTATTAGATAATAATTCTATCGGAGGAAAATATTCTGCCTCCAGGACAGATGAATTGCCTGAGATAGTCAGAGTAAAAGATTCTTCCATGTTGATGACTTTTTATAAACTGATTAGGTGGAATGACTTACAATCACTTATATAGAATATATTTTTGAGTTATTTCAAGCTGTCCACATAAGAATTTTAGACATAAATGACCACAATTAAAACTATTATAATCTTGATAATTTTGATGATTATACTGTATTAAAGTATTGTAACCTAAGTAATTGACAAGTTCATAGGGTGGTTGAAGATTTCCAAAACTATCAAAGTATACTGCTTTATTATTAACTTTTTTATATGCAACCCAATGAGTTCCAGAACCATCTTTATCATCTAAATTAATAATGGCGGATTCATTTTTTCGAGGACCACTTATAGGTAGTTCATTTCGCATAAAAACTCCTCGAAAATGGGAAATTTTCATTTCTTTAGCATATTTAAGTAAATCTAGATCTGTAAGTGCTCGTTGAGGCAGCTTTAAACTTTTTTTTTCTACATCGCCTCTTAATACCTTGTCCTTTAACATATGGTTTCAAATGAAGTCCCAACCCTTGTCGGTATGGTTTTAAATGTAGACCTTTGCCAAGTGCCACTGCTTCCAACTTTCTATTATGACGCTGAGCTTCCTTCAACTGCTCTTTTGCTGCACTTGCATCATTAACAGCTTTTGCTACACCAGCAGCTCCCCCAGTAAGCGCTCCAAGTGCACTTAGACCAGCAAAAATTGGAATTAATGGTAACAGACCACCAACTTTTGATGGAACAGGTAGAATACGAGGTGTTAAAACCTTTTCTCTACCACCTGCTTTCCTTACAGCTTTTCGAGCTGTTTCAATAGCTGACTTTATTGTTGATCGAGCATCATTACCAGGAATTATTGATTTTCTTGCAGCATCCACAATTTTTCTAAGATTTACTCGTTTTTTTGATTTTGTCTTCTTTACTCGTTTCTTTGACTTTGTCTTCTTCTTCTTTACTCCCATTCCAAATTTTGATTTTGCTTTCATAGCGTTTGTTATTGCGTAAGCTGCAGCTCTTTCACTATATTGTGCGTCTGGAGCAAATACACGTTGCCACGCTTTGTCAGCTAATACTCTATCAGCAGCGTTTCTTTCTTCAACGTTTTCTCGATTTTTCGAGTAAGCAATATCGTGCTCTTTACAAGCGGCGTCTAATGGATTAACACCTGGATCACCTCGGTCTAGACGTTTTGCTAACTTTGTGCCTGGTCCACAATATTGATAACCTGGCAAATGTAATTCAAATGGTAACTTGTTTATAAGTTTATTAATTAACCCTTTTCCTTGAGAGCGATGATGTATAATCATACCTTACTCTGTGAAAGTTAAAATTAGAATGACTTGTTAGCTATATAAGCGCTGTATTTATACCTTTAGCGGCAGTCTAAATCAGGATGCGGTTCAAGGAACAACTTCACAAGCTGCCAGTCGTCAATCTGGACTCGATTGTTGAACAACAAGAGAAGAAAGTGAAGCGTCATGGTAGTTTATTTTCCGGTAGTATTCGAGCTATTTTTTGTGGACCATTAAATTGTGGAAAGACAAATGTACTACTTTCTTTAATTTTACATCCTAATGGTCTTAGATTTGATAATATTTACTTATACTCAAAGTCTTTACATCAACCCAAGTATAAATTCTTGGAACAAGTTGTTAATAATGTTGAAGGAGTAGAGTATTTACCATTTAGTGAGCATGAAGAAGTCATTACTCCTAAAGATGCAAAACGAAATTCAATATTTATATTTGATGATATTGCTTGCGAGAAGCAAGATAATGTAAGGGCATTCTTTTGCATGGGTAGACATGTTGATGTTGATTCTTTTTATCTTTGTCAAACATATGCCCGCATTCCTAAACATTTGGTACGTGATAATGTTAATTTACTAGTTCTTTTTCGTCAAGATGAGAAAAATTTAAGGCATGTTTATGATGATCATGTTAATACTGACATGACATTTAATCAATTTCGAGAACTATGTTCAACATGTTGGAATTCAGACAAGTATGGATTTGTAGTAATTGATAAGGATTCTGATTTAAATGATGGAAGGTATAGAAAAGGATTTGATAGCTTTGTAACACTATAAATATAGGATCATCCCTAAAATATTGTTAGTTCAATATGAAACCTTGTAATAATAACATGTTTCATAAAGAAAAAGAATATCTTCATCAAATTGCTAAAGCTAGCGAGGCAATTAGGCGAAAACATCGTATGTTAAAATTAGGAAAAGAAGAAGCTGAAAATGTGCTGACTGAAACTTTTAAACCGATAGTTCAACCCTTACAAAAAATTATTAACTTGACAGACACTGAACATGAAAATATCAAGATTGAAAAGAAAGAGCAGAAGATGGATGATAGCATATACTTTGAAAGTGAAACTGAAAAATCTCCAGATGATGATAAAATAAGTAATAAATTTCTATACTTATTAAATCATAATAGAAAGCAATGTTTAGATTCAACATACGGCATACGTAAGCTAAGTGATGGATCACTTATGATTGGTGATTCACCAATAACTCTTGAAGATCAGCATGTAAAAATTGGTAATAAACGATATCTTCAAACGCTTGGATTACTTGAACTTTTATTTAAAAGTAAACCTACTACATCGCTTATAAGTGAAGATGATGAAAGAAACTATAAAGAGATTCTGATTGCTACTAATGCACACAAAAAGAAGTATAGTTCCTCTGAATCTATACGTACGGATAAGAGTTACAAGTATTTGAATTTTATATCTCAATTCTTCCCTCAAACAGCTACCAAACGGTCATCTGTAAGCGGTAGTTCATTACCTAAATTTATGATTACAAACAAAAATTTTCAACGAGAATATATCTATTGGGATGATCCAAATGAGTTGATTGACCGTCTTAGACTATTAATGGCTTCTCAAGCTGCTGGAAATCCTAGTCACAATAATGAAATCATGTCTATCATTGAGGAACTACGTGAAGCTAAAATTATATATTAAGATGTGTTTTAGCAAATATCATTCATTTCAACAATGAGCATTGACGTGTTCGGACATCCTCTCAATCAAAGAGGAACAGCAAGACGAGGGCCTCCTGGAGTTGGTTTTAAACTCAATTCTCAAGGAAACTTTGACGTTGAAGGAAGAAAACTCTGTAATCTTGCTAACGCTGAAGAAGAAAACGACGCTGTCAATTTAAAACTTGTACGACATATGATAAAACACGAAGTGCGTTTATTGTATGAAGCTAGTGCCTCACTTAGATCAGAGGTGGACAATAACAACTTATTTCTAAAAGTTCTTGAAGACTCTATTACAGAAAAAATAAAAATTTTTGAAAAAGATATAAATCAAGACTTATCTTATCGAACAGCTGAAATTATTAGTGAATTGGATACTCGCTTAAGTGCTCTTGAGAATGAACAACAAAAAATTAACAGTAGTGAATGAACTTCATACTCAGGCTAGAAAAAATTATCCTCGACGGCGAGTTGAAATGCGTGATATTAATGAGACATGGCAAGCAGATTTAGTAGAAATGATACCTTATTCAAGAATAAATAAAGGTTTCAAGTATTTACTAACAGTTATAGACATATTTTCGAAATATTCTTGGGCTGTTCCAGTAAAAAGTAAAAGTGGAAAAGATGTTTCTCATGCAATGCAATCTATATTTGCTAAAAAACGCATACCAAAAAACTTGCATAGTGACAAAGGAAAAGAGTTCTATAACTCACAATTTGAAGCATTAATGAAAAAGTATAAAATAAATTTTTACTCAACATACAGTAATATGAAGGCTTCTATTGTTGAACGGTTTAATCGAACACTAAAAAGAAAAATGTGGATGCAATTTAGTTTACGAGGAAATTACAAGTGGTATGATATATTGCCTACTCTTAATTCCAACTACAATAATACAAAACATAGAACAATTGGAATGAAGCCTAAAGATGTTACTTCAGAAGACGTTGAAATTTTAAAAGAAAGGATCTCTAAACTGAGAAAAATTCCTTTAAGACGACCAAAGTATACAATTGGTGACAAAGTTCGAGTAAGCAAATATAAAAACGTTTTCGAGAAAGGATATACACCCAATTGGACAACAGAAATATTCACTGTGGATCAAGTTGTATCAACTCAACCAGTGACTTACAAGCTCAAGGATTACCAGGACCAACCCATCAGCGGAGGATTTTATGAAGAGGAACTTCTTAAAGTAAAATATTCAGATATTTATCTTGTGGAAAAAATTCTCAAAACACGTGGAAACAAAGTTCTTGTCAAATGGCTTGGCTTTGATAATTCTCACAATACGTGGGAAGATAAAGCAAATGTATAATCTATTATTCGCAAATCGTCCCCAGTAACTTAACGCAAATGTCAATCAACCAGCAAATCAATCAAAGATTAATGTTAGCGTAGAATTTGCGTTAAGTTACTGGGGGCGATTTGCACACTTAAATTATATAAGTTTTAATCATATGTTATTATGTATATATGAAAGGATTTTTTAAATAAAAAACACATGGAAATTGTATATAATTGTATTATTTATTAACAAACCTTCTATTTTTTTAAATCACATTTTATAAATCATTCGTCGATTGTGGGAATCCTATAATGACCCCATGGAAGAGTGTCAGTACTCTGGGGTAACAAGTACCGTTTATCATCATGCGGACTTAAGGCTACTTTAACTTGTTTGACTGTCTCTAAATTATGTAACCGTGACCTTATATTGTACTGCGTTCTGGTCTGAATTTCAAAATTGTTAAGGCATTGTACATAGTCATCAAATTTTATTGTCTTTTTGACGACTCCTGCTTTAATACCTTTTGCTTTCTTAACGAAATCCTCACCTTCAACGCGTATGCTATACATTTTACTCCGCAAGCCAACAAATTCGGTAACAATTTTACCATTGCATTCGTCCTTCATAAGGCCGAGCACTTTTTTGTTGACTTGCGGCATGTCATACGCGTTGTCTGCGGGAAAATCAGATGTGTCAAACTTGTCAATGTCGTCTTTCATGTCTTTGTATATGTCTTGACATTTCACTTCGTACACTAGACTGTCTGTGTCCGTGTACAACAGTTTACATGCTCCACCATATTTCTGGAGCATGTAACTGTAGTGAAAGTCATAGACTAGCGTTTTCGAGATATCCAACACACTTAAACCCACATAAATCGGTTTATTGAGTAGGATCTCAGTCTTGCGCAGTTCGATGGCCACAAGGTCCTCATCGAAGATCGCTCGACTGTGGAAATTGGGTCGAGAGATGAGGGCTTCGGCACCATACCGACCGTACCAGTGTGTAACCAACTTAATGTCAACATGCTTGCGAACATTTTCCATGGTCTTGCCATACACTGCATTATTCATTAGTTTGAATAAATTCTTTTCGAATTCATTTTTTGCAGTGGTTCGCATGGTAGTGTTAAAATCTATGTAGGGTTTTAACCATTCGGATTGGTTGAATTCAAGCACTCGGTGGATTTTTATGAGTTTCATACCGTTTCCGAGAGCCTGTTTTAATGCACGATAGTGTATAACATACTTCTCTTTAGGCAGGAGAGTTGTAAGTAATTTCTCCTGCCTGGACATGGGGGGTTTTGCATTAGTTGCGCAAAAAGGCATGTCCTTATGAGAATCGTGCAGGCTCTCGGGATACTCGAGATTGACTTCTAAAATGTACCCGACTGAAGAGTCGTCGGGTACGTTAAAGTCAAACGCCTCGTCAGGGTTGGCAATCCACTTAAAACCACCAATTGGAAGTGCTTGTGTCATTGCCCAACCGTACAAATTATTGGCATCGAAATACATAATGTACTTTGGGTCTTGAGATGGATCAAAATGATCCATATAGGAATTGTTCGCTTTAGCATACCGGTTACAACACTGGCTAATGCCGCCTCTGATACCCGACTCAATAAACATCATCATGTCTATGTTGGTTATAAGTTGCAATGCTATGCCCGTATATTTGAGCATAGCATCCCAAGTTAAACCGGGGGTAGTGTAATAGTGTGCTGGATCTAACCCGTACGTTTTTACACACTGTTCGCGAAAGTTTTCAAAGACATCGGCAAGTAATAACACATCAGTTTTCATATAAAGGTGAACGTAATCGTAAAGAGTTTGACAATTAAATTCAGACCAGACTTTTTGCGCATGCTCATATTCATCATCCGTTACACCAGCGTCGTAAAGAGTACTATAAAATCTCTCTTTTGTTGGCAACTCTGTTTCATCGAGTTTACTTCGCGAATCAAAGTACTCGTAGGGGAAGATACCCTTTCGCGTTAACAATTTTATTTGTTCGCGATCCGTCACCGTACTGGCAAATACGGATTCAATAATTTTATATTCGTCAAGGTATGACGCTAGTTTCTCAAGAGATGCTGCCATGAATCGAAATGAGTCAATGAAGCGGAATTTAACCTCACTCCCCTTGATGTTTTTAGTAAAGGAGATATACTTCTCCTTGTTCAAGGGGAGGAGGTCAATTCGACCTTCAAAGCTTGTTGATACAGCATGAATTATAAAGTGTGCGTCATACCCGCTTAAATTGTGAAATACAATGGGGATGAGTTGACACTCTTGATAATTCAAGTTGCACGATTCATGCGCAGCACCTCGGTATTCGCCAGTAAGATAACAGTGATCGCGAACTTTTTTAACACCCGCTGGTATATTCTTCTGACAAATATGGCACACGGTTGCATTCTTAAAATCAGCAATTTGCTGAGGAGTTAAGGCATCCATAGGTATAGGGTTTTTAAATACGTTGTCAATTCTTTCCGCGAATTACCTTAACTCGTCAGCAAACCACTTGGCAGGGTCTAATTCCTGCCTTGGACACGGTACATACATAGACATTGAGTCATCGAAGCTACATTTTACATAATAACCGATACTCAACAATTTATGACGCTGGAATATCTCAGTTTTACTTAAATTGTCTGTATCTTCTTCAGCGGGAAGAAGTAAACTTTCACAGTCGGCGTAGATGACAAAAGGAACTTTCACAATTTACATTGTCATCGCATACACTTTCATCATCATACGAATCTACTACATGCAGTAGATTTACATGTTTCTCTCTCTTCTCTGCGGTCAGATGAAGAGGGTTGACGGAGAAATTGCCATGCCATTTCGTAAGGCCGTAGACATTTACAGATACATTGTTTAACAATTCAAATTTCGCAATACTTTTTAATGTTACAGGGAATTCTATACCCTTAAAATTCAATTCATTTTCGAATTCTTTATAGCTAGAGACACGTTCAGGATGTGATTTGTCATTATGTAAAGCTGACAGTACAGCCCACTTAAAGCACTCTCTGTCTTTGTTTTCAACATTAACACATGCTTGTTTTCGCTTAATTTGTGTAGGTAGATTGATATATGAACTCGCACGCATTGGATTATACTTATTTACATTAATTTCTAATTTCACTATCGACACTAGGTTCCAGTTTGACCCCTTCTCATGGAACTCCTCGACCTTCCTCATGATTGGCTGCTTCATGTTTGATTCAAACCAGTCCTCCAATACGGTCGTCGGGAAGATGCTACTGGATTTGGCTGTGAATGGTATTGGTTGAACCACTTCTTCTTCGTTCTGCACTCTTTTGAAGTTGGCTGTCAAAACACCGTATACAATTATGGGGCCATTTTGTTTTAAAGCACCTTGAATGTGTTCTTTAAATAAAATGGCTGCATCATCCAAAAACGCACTTATGTCTAGGTGTACAATATTTAACACAACATTCGTATACAGTCGACATTCAAATGCACTCTCACATTCAGCCCATCGCACGCGGTTATTAATGTTAGGGTCTTGTAGACCACCGCCCTCTATCGCTTGAGACTCGAACAATACTCGAAATCCCATTATGGATTGCAGAATGTTCTGGCAACGACTTTTCTCATGCGTAAAGTACATGGATTTTAAAAGACTTGTCAGAACTTGTTCGTTGCGAGAACATTCTGCAACCCACCGCGAAACAAAATCGATTTTATTGGCGCCATTGCTTAAACTCGATAACAATTCGAGAGCATCCTTGATGAGTACAATCGTGAACTCACATTCATCAAGGATGGTACCATAATTAGGACGCTTCGCTGGTCCTACGTTACCGGTAAACTTTCGTTTGCCAGGCATTCTCAAAAACAAAAAAATCAATAACACAAAAAAGTATTACTAACAAAAAAATAAGACAAAACAATAATACTAAAAAAACTCAAAACGCACTTACAAAACTAATACACTTAAAAGCTAAATTACAATCTAAGAGAACACAAAAAAAAGAACAATAAAACGCTTACAAACTAAATCCTAATCTAAGTGAACGTAGAAAAAGAACAATACAATAAAAACGCTTACAAAATAAATTCTAATCTAAGAGAACTCAAAAAATAATGATAAGTAAAAGTTGGAATACTGTAATCGGTGTTAGCTTAGCTTTGTCTACTCTGCGTGAGCTCACAGATTACAATGAGAAATTTGCTCTCAAAACTCTCATTTATAGTCTGAAATCCCCACTCTAATACCCAAAAATCCCCACTACTACCTTTGCGCATGCGCAGTAGACTATTTACCCCCACTACTACCTTTAAGCATGCGCAGTAGACTATTTACCCGACTACTATCTTTGCGCATGCGCAGGAGACCATTTACCTTACTCATAGTTTTCACGCATGTGTGATTCCACACTACCTTAATTTTCATCCATTCTACCGCTACTACAACATTCACACATGCATTATATAATTTACCCTAACCTACAATACTAATAAATACACACTTATTTTTTAGAAAATATATCTTATATATTATTATTTAATTATTATTATTATAATTATTAATCACAATTTTAATAACGACGCGTGGACGGCGGCGACGTCGCTCTCGACGACCTCCATGTGGAGGTGTCGGCGCCCGAGGTGACGCTGTTCGCTGATCCTCTGGTGGAGGTGGTGTCTCTGGCCGCTGCCACGGGTACCTCGGAGGCGTTGGAGACCTCAGTCGCGGTGATGGCGTCGGTGATACCTCTCGCGACTCAGGTGGCGTCCCCAGCACCACATAGGGTGGTGGCGTCTCTGGCCGGTGCCACAAGTACCGCGGAGGCTTTGGAGACCTGGGCCGCGGTGATGGTGTCGGTGATGCCTCTCGCGACTCAGGTGGCGTCCCCAGCACCACATAGGGTGGTGGAGTCTCTGGCCGGTGCCACAAGTACCGCGGAGGCGTTGAAGACCTGGGCCGCGGTGATGGTGTACCTGGAAGTGGCACCTCTTGACCCGGGTGCTGCAACTAAAATATATTATATTAGTACAATTTAATTATTACTCATTACTTACTTAATTATTAATACTTACATTGTACTGCGACACCATCCTCATCAGGCAGTTGAAGCACTCGCACCGCTGGTTTTCCATGTCGACCGCCTGCTGCTGTGCTGCGAGCTGAATGAGCTCTCTGCCGTGTGCTAGCTACCCTCGTAGGGTTCCCCCCACCAAGCGGTTCCCCCACTCGCGCTCTCCCCACCGTGCACTCTTACGAACGCGCTAGGTGGCCGTTAAGGTTAACTAATAAGATAGTTATCACCCGTCGGTAAAGCGCGAAATTTGAATTAAGATAAATTTTTTATTTCATATTGTGAGTGAAAATAATTATAATAATTAATATGTATTACAATAGATAATAATTTTTTATATGAACAATATTTTTTAAATTAAATTAAAGTTTAGCTTAAATTCAGCAAACTAATTAGAAACATGTTTAGTTTTGAAAAATTATTTCCGATTAAAAATTCATTTAATTTTTTATTATAAGTTATTGTATGTGTAGTGTAAAATAAAACATCTTTTAAAAAATAAATAAATATTTATTTTACAATAAATTTCTATTTAATGTATATACATTTATACAGATATAAATAATTATAAACATTGTACATTTATTATTAAAAGTTTAATAAACATTCCTAATAAACCATTTATTTCACTATAAATAATAAAAGTTTGAAAATAAAATTTTTTTTGAAAAAGCATGAAAAAAAACATTTGTTAACATGCGATAAACGAAAAAGAATTTTTTTAAAGAAAAAAACATGAAAAAACTGTCGGTTATAAAGTAAAAATAAAGATTTTTGTTTTATAAACAAAATATGAAAAAAAATTTGTTAATAAAAGTATAAACGAAAAAGAATTTTTTTAAAGAAAAAAACATGAAAAAACTGTCGGTTATAAAGTAAAAATAAAGATTTTTGTTTTATAAACAAAATATGAAAAAAAATTTGTTAATAAAAGTATAAACGAAAAAGAATTTTTTTAAGAAAAAAACATGAAAAAACTGTCGGTTATAAAGTAAAAATAAAGATTTTTGTTTTATAAACAAAATATGAAAAAAAAGTTGTTAATAAAAGTATAAACGAAAAAGAATTTTTTTAAGAAAAATAGCATGAAAAAACTGTCGGTTATAAAGTAAAAATAAAGATTTTTGTTTTATAAACAAAATATGAAAAAAAAATTTGTTAATAAAAGTATAAACGAAAAAGAATTTTTTTAAGAAAAAAACATGAAAAACTGTCAGTTATAAAGTAAAAATAAAAAATTTTTGTTTTATAAACAAAATATGAAAAAATGTTTGTTAATAAAAGTATAAACGAAAAAGAATTTTTTTAAGAAAAAAGCATGAAAAACTGTCAGTTATAAAGTAAAAATAAAAAATTTTTGTTTTATAAACAAAATATGAAAAAATGTTTGTTAATAAAAGTATAAACGAAAAAAGAATTTTTTTTAAGAAAAAAAGCATGAAAAAACTGTTAATTATAAAACAAAAATTTTTTATATAAACAAAATGCAATGCAATTCAATGCATCTTGTCGAAACTTGTGATTCTTTTTTTTGGTAAATTTTTTAAAACATTTTGATGTATCGCAGAACATAAGTTTTCCTTAGGTTCCCTTTGCTTATTGCGTCTTTTTATTGTATGCGGTTCAACAATTTCAGTTTTCCGCTTCTTTTTTCTCTCTTCTGCTAGCCTCAATCTTATTCTTTCAGCGGTTGTGAGGCCATCGGTGGGCTCCTTCCGTGGTGGACTTTTTTGAAATTCTTTTTCTGGCCTTATTGGACGGTTATATTCTGAGCTATGCGATTTTGGTATTGTGTTTGACCTTTTTATCGGTTTATCTGGATTCTGATTAGTAGCTGCTAGCTGTCTTTGACATCTGAAGATTTTTTGAATGTTTGGATTGCAGTTTTTATGCTCAAAATCTGTTTGAAATAGTCCAGGTATCCTTGGATCATACTCCATGTCTTCAATATTTTTAAATAATTTATTAAAAATATCATTCTGTTTCAAAAGGTTAATCTGATTGAGTAGATTTCCATTCCTTTCATCCATCTAAAAAGTTATTAATCAATTAATATATTACTTCATATGAATTGATAAGTGTTAGCTTGCGTAGAAATTAATTTTATAAATATTTAATTTTAGTCTTTTACTTATTACGTTAATAAGTAAAAGTAGACCAATTACATCATGTTTTAAACAAATAATAATATAGAATAATTTAGAAGCATTGATATAATTGAAAAAAATATTTATAACACATATATTGTATACATGAAGGGTGCGCTAAAATAAAGTATTAAACGCTAACACGACACTTCAACTTTTAGAGACAAATATCAGTAATTAATATTAGTTTATTAATAATAAAAATTGTAATTATTATAAAGTTTAACTAAGTAAGAATTTCTTACTGATTTAAACATATATTGTAGAGAAAAGGATATATAACGTCAAATTTGATGTGAATCTAACCTATGAAAAATTTGACGTTTAATGCTTTGTTTTAGCGCACCCTTCAAATATCTTAAATAAATCAACTTTGATTTTAAAATAAAATATAGTCTAAATTTATATTTTTTCTCTTAAATATTAATTTGAAGTTAAAAAAGATGTAAATAAACATACCATTTCCTTTTTGTCACTGTGTACATTTTCCACTCCTTGCTCTTTTTCCACTTCTAACGTATTTTTATTTACATTATTGTTAGTTTCCTAGATAATAAACAACGTTATTTATTTTATTATTACAAATATTCTTTACATAATCCTCTTTTAAGAGAAAAATAAAAATTTAATTAGGTTATGTTTAGATTTAATTTAAATTGAAAATTTGTTTTTTTTGGTTATGTTTAGATTTAATTGAAAATTGAAAAATTGTTTAGGTGAATTTTAATGCTGATTCACCTTATATTTTTTCTCTTAAATATTAATTTGAAGTTAAAAAAGTTGTAAACAAACATACCATTTCTTTTTTGTCGCTGATCACATTTTCCACTTCTTGCTCTTTTTCCATTTCTTGCTCTTTTTCCATTTCTAGCGTATTTTTTTTACATTATTGTTAGTTTCCTAGATAATAAACAACGTTATTTATTTTATTATTACAAATATTCTTTACATAATCCTCTTTTAAGAGAAAAATAAAAATTTAATTAGGTTATGTTTAGATTTAATTTAAATTGAAAATTTGTTTTTTTTGGTTATGTTTAGATTTAATTGAAAATTGAAAAATTGTTTAGGTGAATTTTAATGCTGATTCACCTTATATTTTTTCTCTTAAATATTAATTTGAAGTTAAAAAAGTTGTAAACAAACATACCATTTCTTTTTTGTCGCTGGTCACATTTTCCACTTCTTGCTCTTTTTCCATTTCTAGCGTATTTTTTTTACATTATTGTTAGTTTCGTAGATAATAAACAACGTTATTTATTTTATTATTACAAATATTCTTTACATAATCCTATTTTTAAGAGAAAAATATAAATTTAATTAACATGAACACTTACCATTGTTTTGGTTCCTTTAAACACTACACAAAGTTGTCTGCTAACACTAGCTCATCAGAAGTTTAAATAGTAAAATAATATAAGAATGATTTAAAATTAATTTATAAATAAATTAAATGTTTATAAATAATGTGAAAGGCGGGATAATTTGAAAATAATTTATTAATACGGGAATTACAAAATTTATTCTACGTTTATTGTAAACATGACTTCATGTGTTTTAAGAAGGCGCGAAAATCGTTCAAATTTAAAATTAAGTTTTTATTAGGTTAATGCCATAAATAGAAATCCTTCATAAATAACTTAGGTTTTTAAATTCCATATTGTTAATTATACAGAAAATAGTGGTATAATTAGTAAATATGTTGTTAATAATCATATTTGTAGAGTTTTGACAAATAATATAATTTTTATAAATAAGAGAAACTGGTATTTAATAATAGAATTTTCAATAGTAGAAACTGAAGTATCTTTAATGTTTATTAATAAACTAACAATTGTTAAAAAGTAATATGTACTTATCAAGGAACATAAATGTATAATATATACTTACCTTTGCTTATAAACAAGAGAAACTAATTGACGATACTGTTTTTTTAAATGATAAATATAAATTTAATAAATTCACAATTCTTAATACATAACTATAGTAATAAAAATCACTTTTATTAATAAACATCTAATAACAATGTGAACATATTAGTGATAATAACTACTTATTAAAAATAATAAGAAACAATACAATAGAATAATTTTAATAAAGTAGTAAAAATATATAATTAAATTAATAATAATAATATTAATAATTATAAATTAATTAAAGAGGTTATAGATAATAAAATAGATTTTAACAACATTTAGTAGCGCCATCTATTGAGTCTTTGGTAAACTCAGTAGTGTAAACAATATGGCGTCATTTTTTGCGCGCGAAATTTAAAATAATTCAAGCGACTAGGCTGCTAATTTTTTGTACCGCCATCTGTTGGACAGTGAGTAAGCTTCCACTGTCGGTAAAACAGTTTACCCGCGAAAGGCAGTTTAGTTTCAAGAAAATGGCGTCCAAGCAATTTTAAATTATTTAATAAAATCCAAATCTCCCGCCAACAGCTCCGTCGGTAAAACAGATTTCTACATTGACAACCGGGTTTGATTTAATGACAGATACCTACCCCACTGACTGTTGGCAATGTAGGAATCTGCATTACCGACCGAGGGTACTTAGCCGAGATCAGAACCTGGAGTCGTATCGGCTTTGCTATACTACTCAAAGAATATATATTGATTGCTTTTTTTAGCATTCTATTCTTATTTTCATTACAAATTAATAAATTTCACACACTATTTCAACTGTCACATTAGCACTTTTACACTTTACACATTAATATTTAATTATTTACAACATAATTTACCCTAAATGTTGGATAAATTTACACTTTAATACTCCATTTATTATTTTCAATAGTTTATTTCAACATTCTATGCTTTTTTATTGAATTTTTCGACCAATTACCGAACGTATACCGAACGTCTACCGAATTCAGTAGATATTCAGTGAAACCCGCCCGCCAGGGTAATCA